TAGCGTTCTTGCTCCTAGTAGTATGGCCAGGAGCCCCTGATAGCGTTCTTGCTCCCAGTAGTAAGGCCAGGAGCCCCTGATAGCGTTCTTGCTCCTAGTAGTACTGCCAGGAGCCCCTAGTTTGCAAAAGAACTACTGCAAATGTCATTAAATATTCTTTGGGGTGGCCAACAGTCCTGTCCTAGGGTACAGTTTCCTTCGCACCCGATGTGCGGTTCCCTTAGTTCCCTTATTATTGTAAGACTCCCGAGGGTTCGTGTTTTGGATCTTTGCTCTCCACATCGTCTATCCCCATGATCCGAAGGGGTGTGTAAAACGGGTTTCCGTTTTTTCTATCCTGCAACCTCGTGGTTGCTTTTTGGGGTCGGTGGTTCAACATACCTTTATTTAGGTCTGTGAACCACATAAACATCCGCAACCGAAATAAACGCCTTCGCTCACAAGTAAACGCCCTTAGCTTGTGCATAAACGCCCGTGGAATATCATTTAACAAAAATCAGAAAACTAGAGAAACATCCACAGACTCAAATATAAGGCTGTGACTCCAAAAGATGTTTTCACGCTGCAGAACGCCAAAAAAAAGAAACCGTTTGAGGAAGTTTCAGGTATATTATATATATATATGTGTGTGTGTGTATCACGAGACCATTTTTCTCCATGACCTCTTCAACTCCTGCGCCTCACCGTCGAGGACTGCGAGTGCTACGTGGGTTGCGCCTCGGGGAACTTCCGCGTGGACGGAGGTCGTGCGGAGAAGCCGGAGATGATCGGTGTGTGGTTGGCGAAGACATATCGTGTTGGTTCGTGTAAAACCACTGGGCCAACTTGCATTATTAAGACCTGTTGTTTCTCGGGGCACTTGGTCACCCAGAACTTCGAAAAGTGAAAACAGGGTCTGTCTGCAGGGTTGCAGGCCGTTGATTGTTTGCTCCATGTAGTAGACTGTACATCTATTTCAGAGTTCTCAGTCCATGGTTTGCTTCCTCCAACGTGTAGCTGCTTGACTGGGTGTTGTTCTTGTGGTTGAGCTGGTCGAGTCCAGCGCCTGATTTCGCAAAGGAGGGCTTGGTCATTACCGATTATACAGCGGCTTTTCAGGCTTTTCACATATTAGACAAGTATCATTGATCACATTAGAAACGTGACCTCAAGTATATACAACAATTCACATTTCTTGAGGTCACATCCACAACAAGTCACAGACCTGTGGGTTGTTCCGCTACGATGGGTACTCGCAGCGACCTCTCGGTGAACGGCGCGACGAGTGGTTCGCCCACCCCCCCCCCAGTGCCTCGATGCGAAGCACTGGACGCGAAGTGCGTGAACTCGGTGGCGTGACTCGTGGCGCTGCCAGGTCAAGAAGGCTTCAAGCAGTGCACCGTCACCAATTCGGGGAACCAGCGGCCTCTGCTGGTTAGAGTTTGGAGTTCGGGGGATGTGAGGTGCTTGGTCATGCCAAACAGGCCCAGACTGGTGACCAGCCATCCCAAAGGAGGATGAGGATGCTTTTTTGCAGCTTGTCATGCTCCTTTTGGGAGAAAAGGTGATCATGATGATCCACGGAGTCTCAGAATGGCGTCAGAATGGCACAAGCTCCTGTTGTTCGAACATCATGACGACTTGTCTTTTCGGTGTAAATCGAGACACCAGCTAAATGACTGTAAACAATGTGCTTGAACGTGCTTGAACCCTTGCAATCCAGTTTCAAGGGCCACTTGAATTGGCAAAGATGGACCATTTATAACAACACTCGGTGAGGCAAGTTGTGGCCAGTTCTCAGCTCGGTGCCCTTGCGCCATTGCTTGTCTCACACTCCCTACGACGTTCTCAGTCTGTTTCTAAGTCGACGGCGCTGGTTTCCTCCCGGTGTCCTCCGATGTTTCCATCACTGCAAATCACGCAAACAATGGAAGTTGCACCAAGTTGCACCCCCTCCTGGAGCTCTTTCAGACGTCTCCCGGTGCTGGGAGTCAACTCCGCCAGGCACCTGAGCTTGCCCGTTTGTCGGCCCAAATGCGTCGCTCGGCACATGTGTGCTCACAAAGAGGAAGACGAGCTCTGTTTGATGCATGACATGGCTGGCAAAGTGGAAGCCGGGAATTGGATGAGGGAGTGGTTTCAAGAAGTTTGTTGGGCGGTTTGGATGAGGGAGATGGGATTTGAAGGAACATTGCTGGGTTGAACAGCTCTTTTTTTATCCTTTCTAAGGACGGAGTGTTGTTGTTTACAGAGAGTACAATGAGAGGACTTCAAGTTACCCATTCCCCAAGAAAGCCAGTGGATGATTGCTAGTGGCACTGGCATGTTTTTCCCACAAACAGGAATAAGTATGTTTGGCCGATTGACAGCTGAATCACCAATTCACTAGAACCCAACCATTCGAAGGACCGAACCACCCCCAAAATATCCCAAAATAAGGTCTTTTCCTACCGCAACAGGGGTCGACCTCCACACCCGCCTGAACAGACCGTCGACCCGAGGTGAAACCTGAAAACCAGTTTGGAACCTTAAACACGTCCGGGGACCACAGACCTGTCGCGATGGCGCCAGTGAGACCTGGCGCCAGTCGTTCGGTCCTTCGTTCTTTTTGCATCAGTTTGGTGTGCAAAAGTATGTGTTGATCGTCATTGGTTTGTTGAAAGAAATGAAAGCAATGAGTCTTGAGCTAGGGGAAGTGAGTGCGTTGGAATTTCTTTGCAAAAGAGTCCCAGCAAGAAGCACCGTGTGAATCAGTTTATTATGTTTGTTTTGTCACTTGCCGTCCTGGGTCGTCTTGGGTTGCTGTTCAAAGAGATACGGATTGCACTGTAGGGGGTGACAATGTAATAAACTGTTCTTCATGACAAGATATGCTGTTTCTCCAAATACGCTGTGCAAAAGCTTCTGAGCGTTCTTTGGCGTCTCTGAGTTCTTAAAAACTGTAACACCTAGGTGTTGAGGAATCTCTCGCGTCAACATCATATTGTTGAGTCATTTCCAGAGCAGAGTTTTGAGTTTTTGTGGTGTCCAATCAAAGAAAACAAAAAACAGACTCAAAGGAGTACACCAGAACGCCAGATTTGCATCAGTCACTCAAAGGGAACACCTCGAGAGGATGTCAATTTAAATGTGAAGCTATATAGTTCAGATGTGGGCTGGACGTTTGATATCCCAGACACTCTTTGTATGCTGTATGCATATATATATAATATATTCCGCACCATTGACCACTTTTGAACCACCCCTGGCCTGATCGACATCTATGCCAGTCCCATGGTTTGGGGCTTCACTGAGGAATAAGTGCGCCAGGCAGCGTGGGACAGCATGGGACAGAACGAAACTTGCTTCAGAGAAGTGCGGGGATGCCATACAGCCATCCTTTTCTTGTTCGGAGCGCCACAAAGCACAAGAGTTGGGAAGTGTTTGAATGCGGCTTGTAGGCCCGTGGTTGATGTGTGTGTGTGTTTTCTCGATGCCACTGGTTTCTGATGTGGTGCAGCGAATGTTCTTTAGGCTTTTGAAGGGTTCTTGGGATTATACTATACTTGTATATCATGGTTGATGCGCAAGATCCAAAACTATTAGACCATCCATCCTAAGATACATGAAAGCCCTACTGCACCCTAGAGTGCCTGTGGGGTTGAGGAGGTTTGCCAATCTTTTATGAATCAGAGATGTTTGGAACATGTCTTGAAAATACATACCTGGCCAGGAGTGGTTGATTCTTTGGCGAGGCTTGGTATATACAGGGCAGGATGCTATGGCTATCCCTTCGAACTGGCAAACTAATTTAGCAAACAATGCATATTGAACAATTGTGGTCCTCTACCATGTATGTACAGTAAATGTTGCTGGGATCACTTATCGCCAGGACCACTCTGAAATCTGCGACACGAGTCCGCGCAGCGCACCATGGCCACATCGTTTTCGCCGCCAGTTGCATTGTCGGCAAGAAGTGCGAGTGCGAGCTGAGCTGCTTCTTCGGTTCCAGACGGGGACACCCAGAGGTTTTGGGGAAACGAACGATGCAAAGAAGCGAAGACGGAGATGGAGATGGTGAACACATGAGTTACTTGTAGCTACTCTTGAGAGAGTACAAGGAGTTCATGGTGATGACTTTAAAGAGTTTACTGTGGACCGTGGCTCTTTTCTTCATACCTCACGGAGGAAGCACGTTATCATCAAAGCACAACACAACTACCGAAATCCATGTAGTTCATGTGATTTAAAAGAGCACCTTAGATCCATGAGCTGGGAAGTGACTTTGTGATGGGACCCCCCATCCTACCTCCCTTTTTGCTGATGAACTGAAGCACCACTCCACCAGCCACGGTGGATCCCTTGCGACTTCGCACTTCCCCAGGTTCAAGTGGTGCTCAGAACGGTCAAAAGACCTGTGCCTTTGTCAAGGGGTCATCTCCTCGGTGCAGATCTGAGGGTCGAAGGCGGCCGGGTTCGAAGAAGTGGTTGTTCGGTCGTTTTCTTCACTCCCATCGATATAACTAGTAGCTAGAAGCTACTAGGTTGGAGGCCATCCCCTTTCCGGTTGGAGGCCATTACTACTCGGAACAAGAAGCTATCAAACGGATGTTGGTCCAAATGTCTCTTTGTTTAGTCCAGGTCTTCTTTGCGATTTCAGGTTTTACATCAAACGCTCTGCTTGGCTTGTGCGTTTCCTGTATATATATATATATACATATTATTCGTGAATTGGTTCACCCCTTTTGGTTTTGCCCCATCCTTTTGTCCCGCTGCCAGTATCAATTGTATGCTTCTCCTACTCCTAACCCCATTAAGCTCCAAAAAGCGTGCAGGTCGGCCTGCAGTATTTAGAAGCTGCTCGGGCAATAGCTTGCGCCAGTGGCTGGAAAGCCTTCATCGAAGGTATAGCTGGATACTAATAGGTTTGCAGGGTATATACCGGTCTTCCAACTAAAAATGAAAGTCTACGACTGCCTTTGTGCAATTGTCCTTGATAGAGGGGGTCCACATGTATTCACTTGTCACTTGCTAAGTGAGACAACTTGAAGTGTGCCCAACTGCCGTAGCGGTCTATTAGACGATTAAAACCCATGACATCAAGATGGAAAAGAACCAGGTAGAGGACAATGGTCTTGCCAAGGGCCAATTTCCACTTCCATTAGGGAGTCAGAGTGTAAGCCAGTGTAAGCCGTGACACATACTCACACGCTCGGGAAAACACACCTTTTGCTCGGCGACTAAGGGATGAAAATACGCCAGCTGCAGCTCAGTGGGTGGATGCCTCAGTGGTCTCAGTGTGACATCTACTCAATGTTCCTGGACTTCAACCATCTCCGGCCTTATTCAAAACAGGTGGATTCAGATGTCCCATGGATCCCATGGATGTGGAACATCTCCAACAAATAAAGCTCGCTTTCTTCAACCGGTCCCAGACCCCGGTGATTTACACTTAAGAAGGATCTTTGAGGTACCGAGCCTTCAAGAGTGGCGAGCCATCCCGAGCCGGTTCCTCGGTTCCCACGCCGGGAGTGGGAGGAACCATCCGGAGGGGGTCTGAGCCGAGTGGCCATGGAACCATCAAAAGTAGTATTGAACATGTTCCTATCAGGAGTTATGTGTGGGTCTTATATGTGTTTCGGTCCAAAATGATCGACAAGGCGCCCTCCCCAACTCTCACAAAGGTGAATCCTATTGGGTCGATTTGTTTAGACCAAAGGGGTCCTATTCTCGCCGCATTTGGCTCGATGGTCTTCGCCTCCGTCTCGCCACCCGTCACCCATCGGGGCCGAAGACCTCAGTCGCCACACGTCGTTTGCCACAGTCGTTCCGCGGTGATGTCGACACGAAGAATGCGATGTCGTCGAGTGCCTTGAAGCCGTTCAACTCGATGGGCGCGAAGGGCGTGAGCTTGGACTCGTCGAAGGGTGAACGAACGTGCTTTTTTCCTGGTCGAAGGCCGAGTGTTTTGGTCCAGTTTTGGAAGGAAGAACTGGAAGAACGAAGGCATGAACTCACGAATGACCGATGAACTTGTCAACAAGAAGACCATCTCACGAAACCAGTGATTTCTTGTGCTCCTTTGATTGATTGGTCGGATTCTTGATCCTTTGATGTTCATGTTCGGAGCCGCTGAAGGTTTAACACCCAGTAACTGTCACTGCTCAAATCTTTAATAGACTATATAGACTGCTCAGAGGATCGTTTCTTCGGTCTGACATCGGTGTGACAGCAATGGGACACTCAGATGGTGACAGCTCGTGGGAGATCTGACGTCGACTGTCGTCGGAGATCTGACGTCGATCTCGAGGTGCTGGAGCCTTTCATGCCCATAGCTTTCTTGGCTCTTGGTGTACACGGAAGCAGGGTGGAAGTGAGGGAGGTGAGATCAAACATCTCTAATCCTATTGATGCACTTTGGGAATTTGAGCTATCGGGCTCATGGGACACTTGGACGAAAAACCTCGGGTTGAGTGCCTGCTCAGCTTTTCTATGTCATTTTGTTGAAAGGTTCCACAATGCTTTTAGTTGATGTGAATACTTCCATTTTTGCCATCCCTTCAAAGGGTGTGTGTTCTTGCTGGGCTTTGCACAAAAAGGCTAGGATAGGAATAGATTTAAACTTGCTGTTCAGCCACATCAGGACCCCTTTTCTTCCTTTTCTCCCTTTCGCATGCCACATTCAGGATATTCCTGCAAGCATCCAAGATGACCGCATCTCAACCGTCTCGGACAGACTCAGTGAGGATGGGATGTTCAAAATCTACAAGCTACAAGTGAAGACCGAATTTGTGCCTCACTTCACCACAGATTTGCAGACGAACCTGGAAGCCATTCCTGACCCCGTTGAGCGGACCAGGCCAAAGGCCATGATCCTATCCAATGGCCAGGAGTAATTGGTCTGAACTGTGCGAATTTATAGTTATTTATGTCTATTTATATCTTGTTTGCATTTTGAAACCAGCCTACGCATTTGTTCAAACCCCACCCCCGCAGAGTTCACACTTGATTTCTGTGAATGAGGACCCTACCCATTAGGCACAGCAAATTTACAGACTTCTACTTTGTGAGCATCCAGCATCTAACAGAAAAAGGGTGGTTACAGCCTGGCGGTTTTTGGGGCTAGATAGGATGGGTAGAACACCATCACCGTGTTCCAATTGGACGTCAATAGGCGGACCTCACGTTCTGGACTCGGTCCTGAGACTCGGCCGAGTTCGTCCATGCGGTTCCGTCTCGTCGTCCGACCGTTTTGACCTTGGGCACCTCGGAGGTTGGATAACCACCTGATAAGAGGTTTGGCAGGCTGTTATTTGTTGCCAATGAATAAGAGAACTGGTGCTGCATTGCAGATGGTTTTTTTGAGAAAAACACACCGCTGCGGCTCCAACCTGGTGCCACAGCGAAGGTACATGGACCTTGGCTTGGAGGGCGATGGCTGGTTCCACCACGCGGGTATTCTGAAGCCCTCGGTGCTGACGGTGGCCACAGAGGGCAAAAGCTTTCGCGAACTCCTGACGAAAGTACTGCAAAGGGCGACCCTGAATTTGATAGCAAAGGGCGGGCGGCGTTTTTGTTTGGATCGCAGCATGTTGTTGAAATCATGAGTTCGTTGGGAAGAGTATGGAAATTGTCAGAGCTTTCTTGAGTCAAGTATTGCACATTTGTCAACGGACATTACAGTATCATTCAACATCATTACATATTCATACATGACAGATTACAAAGATCACCAAGTCACATTGCACCTCACTGCAACAAAGCAAACATCCAACTCATCTCAGCAGCGACAGCTGCCATGCCAATTGAATATAATTGTTTAGACATGTATAGACGTAAGGTTTGCATTGCAATTTGATTGTTGCACCATGAAGGTGTCAATATCAGACTCCAGGGTGGCTAGGCCTCTTTAGGTCTAGGCTTGTTTATGAATATGTAGTATTGGCGAATACTGATGAATATTGAATATGTGCCTGTTTTCCCAATGCATACTTTAGTTTGGTGGCTTTACTATACTAATATTGCTGTCCATTCTATCCAGCACCATCATTTTTTCAGCATGAATGCTTTTGAAGACGTGTCAAACGAACCAGAGAGATGCATTCACGTGATCATTGAAACAAATTTATGACTATTTTACCTCCTTTGGGTCATTTTTCTCAAAGTTTCCACGCGAGCAGATGTGATTTGTTGCTTGCTGAGATCATAGACATAGTGTGGGTGTGATGTTTGTTGCTATGCTTTGTGGCCCGTAATCATCGCAGCACAGATTTTGCGAGCCCCTTCAAAGAAAAGGCATATAGAATATTATAAAAGCAATGTGTTCGCTCTGCCAGATGCCAGGTGTTAGGTGGTCATTCCAAGTCATATTCAGACAGATTTACAGTTCTTGTATTGAAGGTTGGTGTTTTCAGTGGCAGAAGCAGTAAGCAATTTAACGACATTCAATCCATGTCTGGAAAAAAAGCTTTTCAGCCAACAGACTTCCTTTTCCTGTGACCGATTTGGCTTGGACACGTGACCTGCCTGTCTCTCGACTTGTATCCGTTTCGTTTGTCCAGCCTATCTAATCTACGTTCTCTTAGGGGGGTCCAACCACAGTAGTACAATCAATCTTCCTCGACCGAACGTGATACCGTACGCGTGCATGCTTACTGTTCATCCGTTGGGCCGAAGAGAACGAACGGGCCATTCGTAGGTGGAATCCGAGTGGGGGAAGATGTGTTGTCCACCTCTGATGAGGTGAAACCAGTGGTGAAACCATCCAAGATCCAGAAAACCGGTCCACCGGGTCTGTACGACTTGGTCCACCTGGTCTCAGGTGTGAACCTGGTCTCAGGTTCAGGTTCTGGAGTTCCCCCTGAAGAACTCCATCCGCAGACTTGGTCAAAGGATGTCGCACAGTAGTGCTGTGTAATTTGAAGAATCAGGCGATGAGATCTGTGAAGAAGAAGGTCGGACCAGATTGGACCACCGTTGTCGAGGATGGTGTCTTTCACATCGGAGCCCACTACAAAGGCTCTTTCTTGGCCAAAGCTGACCTGAAATATTCAAAGGCTGTCGAATAGGAAGCTAAATATAACAAGCAAAATGAGTCTCTAGATCAACTTCTTCACTATTTCAGATTTTGATTGTCCAGACATTCGATTCATGTTCGGCTCGAACCAAGAACGTTGAGATGTTGTTTCCTAGGTCAAATTGACCTTCGGTTGTTTGGCAACCTCAGGCGGAGCTAAAGACACTTTGCCGCAGAACCACTACCACTTGATGTCCCCGGCTCCCATCACAGAGGACCAGGTGAAGCAGATTCGAGACATTTTGCAAGCTTGGCATCTTGGACCGGGAAAAATGCCGAAGAAGTCATAGGCTCCAAGCGCCAAACTCGATCCAATGCCAAGCGCACTTGGAAGGCTTGGCAGCTTGGCACCAAGCGCCAAACAGGCCAATGCGCCCAGCTGCACAGTGCACGTTGCGCCTACCTCAAAGGCTCCAAAAAAGCTGCATCAGTCAACTCAACAATTGGATCAGACCGTTCGGACTGGAATAGTTAAGTGTGTTTACCTCATGAAAACTTCCCTAAGGTGAGTAAGTATTCCATACTGGATAGTTTGGTATTGATTGGTCAAAAGCTCCACCATGTGGATAACAGGAATCGTTGTTTTGGATCCCGTGCAAGGCCTTCCAGAGAGCAGACGCTTTAATTGTTCATGGGTATACGCCTGTTTTATTGTACGGTGGTTTGTGAAGCGAAGACATGCTAGATCATGCTAGGATCTAACCAGTTGGCCAGGTGGTGTATATATTCAGTTGGACACGCTATTAATTGTTCATGGGTTTATGCAAAAAGTCTTCACAAACTGAGAGAAGCGCGCCGTACCTGGCAATATGTGGGTGAACTATGGTAAAGTATGGCGACTGAGCAAGCTGACAGAGGAGGCTAACAACAATGTTCACTGTAATAATAACAATCCAGCACCCAGACTGTACCCTTTTGGTTCTCAAAGCGTGATGTTGAGATTGAAAACATGTGCGTGCTTCGTATTGTTATAAGCAATGAAGTTCAATGTATATAATATCTTCAGCATCTCCTCTTTGAATGGCAAATAAGAAACAGATGTCTCTTTCGCTTTCCAGAGAAATCCTGCTTGCAGTGGTTTCACAGTAGATGGCACTGGCACCCCAAGATGTGTTTTAGATGGGGGTGCAGTAGGAAACCACCACCAAACTTGGGATCTGTGCCATCTACTCTCAATTCCCCATAAATTCAGTTGGTTTCAAGTCTCCCGTTTTGAGCTGTTTTGAGTCGTCCACACCGCTCCAGTCGTCGTTCGGCTGAGGAGCCAGTGGAGGGTGCCACTGAGGAGAACCCTGCCGGCGTGTGGGGAGCTCGGTGAGCTCGGTGAGCGAAGAGAAGCGGAGGGGTCGTCCAGTTCGCCTTGGCGTACTGTGGGAGTGTTTTCCATCAGCGGTCGCTGGCTGACGTAAGATGTTTTCTAAGAAAAGGATCTGCGAGTCGAGTCAAAATGGCGGAAACCAATGTCGAGGAAAGCTGCTTTCTGGAACGGTCGAGTCAAACACGCGGAAAACGTCGTCTCGTGACAGTCAGCGTCGGGAGTCGGGTTTCAGAAGGGGCGAATGAGCAAAATGTTGAGTAAACGACTGGAAGGAAAGAAAAGATTGCAAGATGTCATTCAGAGTAGTGAGTAGTGTTCACAATCCAAGATTCAGAATGAATGATTCGCCTTTGTTTTTGCCAACCAGTACTGTAGGAAGCATCCCCTTCCTAGATCGTTCCCATCACAAGAGCCTCACTGTATGGGTCGTGCTATTCACTCTTATAGCAAATGCATTTAATCATTCAATACTTGGGTGTCATTTGTGGTAGAGACAAAGGCTGACACGCCAAACAAGTAAGTGGACAAAGGATGTCAATCCAAGAAAACATGCACCCCAGTCCAAAGGTGTTCAATTGCTTTCTTGTGTGCCCAGGCCACAATGCTTGCCTCCCATCATCATCAAGGCTTGTGAACTCGGTACACTGGATACAACGCAGTTGCTTTGAGAAGGTATACCGTATACCGGAACGCACAGGAACTATCAGCATTGCACAGAGATTGAATTTTGACCTGGTTATTGATTCTTGAATATTTAGAACTCCGCCCCGGTCAGTATGTATTCGAGTCTCATGTATAGTAATTATAGTGTATACTATTGTATACTGATGAATCTGAGGAACAATATAAAGACACATGAGGAGAAATAAATATTTTCCTTCAACTGGCACGTGTCCTTTGTGATCCTCTATCCCGAGTTGTGAATCTGGCATAGCACAATCGTCACATGCCTTCGGTTCCTCGGTGTTGCATGAAAAACCATGAAACACCGCCCAAACCAACGTCGCACGACGTCGTCTCGCACGACGTCTGTCTCCACGAGTCGTTCGTGACGTCTCGCCCCACACGAGTCGTTCGTGACCGTTCGACTCCAAAGGTGGACGATGCCCGGAGCAAGAAGGCGCCAGAAAAGGGGCGAAAGGAATTTGGTTGGAACCGGCTTGGTCCAATCGTGTAAGGCGTGATGTTTCTGGGGTTCTCAGGAGGTTGTAGGGTCACTTAATTCAAAGTCAGGTGTCAGTTGTCTACTGGTACTAGAATCCACTAGATTCAGGAGGGATGGTTAAATGTTCGTGGACTGGCTTACCAAATCGGTCAAAATGTATCGGGTGCACCTGTACAACGCATTCACCGGTCGCTGGTCACAGGTCGAAGGGATGATGGTGTCACGCGTAATGCTTTGGGAACTTGGGCCGATTTGCTACTGAAGGCAGCGACTTGGTGTTCAGGATTGGAACATGGAAGATGTCCAGCGCAGAGTGGAAGTGACATGCACAGATTGTAACAACATGCACTTTTCGCCCGCAATGTGGCATCACTTCTTCAGGTGTCGCTGCAGGTCTTCTGCGACAGATCAAAATAGCTGCGTGCAGCACGCGCAACAAGAGCAGCCAGACCGACCAGCCCCGCCCACCTTGGTCCCTGTCTCCTTGGTCGGTGTGTTTGGAGACTTTGCAGTGGAAGCAGATGCAGAAAAAACCCTGTCAGCCTCATGCAAAGCCAATGGCTTTGCATCCAATCTCCTACTCACAGGGCTACATGAATCTTATATAATCTCATTGTATCTCATTGTCATTGAACTCCTTCTTGCTATTTGACGATGGACAAACTTTGAGATTGCGGTGCCAACGTTTCCTCTGAGCTTCATCTGGCTGACAGCCTGGCAAAGCCTGAGGCTGACAAACTGTTGGCTGATCTTGCTCCTGCTCAACTGAACCAGTTTGTAAATGGCCAATACCATTGGGTTCAGTGAGGGCCCATGAAATTCCTTGCTTCGGAAACAATAAAGTCAGTATCAGGTGAGGCTTTTCAAGTAAGGGATCCATATTGTAGTGTTGCAAGATCAGGAAACCAAACCAGCCAGCTTCGCTGCTCAGTACCGAAGAGACCATTGCAAGCTGGGATTTGAAAGTTTTTGAGAAACTTGGGAAGTTAAATCTCCCGTAAGTCTAGTGTAATTCGCAGGACTCAGGTTTTGGACGGCATTGAATCTTGAAGAAAAGAATCGAGAATAGTTAGGACTTGAGTTTTGCCACTTTTCTGCTACGATTGTTAAAGGGTTGAGGTCTTGAGGCAAGCCAAAACATCCTGGAGAGCAACCCACTCAAAAACACACCTTGCAAAGGTTTGGGCACAAGTCTCTATATTTGTGTGGGTTTTGTAGGCCATGCCGCAGGTCGCAAGGGAAACGGGAAGGCTCCATTTTCCTCTTCACCGCCTCTCAAGTTTTTGAAGTGGGTTGTAGAATGAGTATGTTCTGGAATTGTTTCATGCTGAAAAGACGACTTGCTTGTGCGTGGTCCATTCTTTCACCATCCCTATATTGTTCAGAATCTTGGATCCTGATCCAGATGATGTTTCAAACCCTCGGCATTTAATGAAAATCCGGCTGAAATTTTTGCCACCATGCTCAAATAGAGGCAATGCCTTCGTAGGATTTGAGGACCAAAAAAGGATGTCGCTCCTTGGACATAAAATCATTGACTGTCAGTATTTGTTACTACTAGTAAGGCACCTGTTACTACTAGCGTGGCACCTGTTACTACTAGTGTCAGTATTTGTTGAGTCAAGGGAATGACTTGTAACCTAAGTCCTGACGTAGTAGTCGTCAATGACATGAATGCCTTGCCTTGCATTCATGCCTGGCACCCGTAGAACGATGTCATGACTATACTGACCCGAAACACCTTCGACCTGTTTCGACCTGTATCAAAGCCGACGACCGGACCTAAAGACCAACGCACAGTAGCCCCACTGCAGTCAAAAGTGACTCCCGGTTCCCACGAAACGTTCTGGTGCTTGGAAGGCTGGCCCAATCCGGCCAGGAAGGCTATGTTAGTCAAGAATTTGCTGGGAAAAACACGTGTAAAGAAATTAAGCAAGGGCAGGATGTTCTACCAGGTTAAGTTTAGGCCATCCCTCCCTCGATGAAACCGCATCCAGAAACCAACCGCGACACCACGCTGCGCAGCCTTTGCCGGGTGTCACGATCACCATCACGGTGCCTTACAACACCGGCAGCTCTGCGTCGGGGAGCTGGGTCTTCTGCGGCAGGATCATGTAGACGGGTATACCCACAATTGGTTCCATCATATTGGTTCTAATTGTGTTGTGTTTGTGTGTGTGTGTCCACCCCTGGACAAAGGGTTTTCCACCGCCACCTCCTTCACCGATTTTCCACGAACTTTCACATGCAGGGGGATCAGGCTTCCAGCGACTAACCTGATCCAACGAAGCTGGGTCGCTGGAAGGGAAGTGGTTGAGGACGCTCAACCATGTACCTGCGAAGTTTTCCACAAGCTGTCACCCTACTTTTCCACGGTTTGATTCATGGTCCTTCTTCATGCTACGTTCCCCCAAACAACGGATTTTTCCACTGCACTTTTCAGCCGAACGTGATTTGCAGCCAGCCGCCAACTGCAGACTTGCAACTGAGGAAACATGTTTAAACAATACTGTTTTGGCCGACTCATGCGCCTTGCCGTTCCCTCACCTTTTCCCAACGTGGTAACTGAGTCACTGAATACAAGTGTCAGAGTGTGTTTCGCTC